ATGTTTCGTTCCACCACAAAATAATGTATACAGGGTCCCAGTTACATACAACAATAAAATGTAAAGGAAAAACAATGATAACATCTGATATGAACTAAGAAAAACATAAACTAAAATTAGACTAAGCACTAATAGCATAAAAACATTATGTCGAACAGCAGCACGAACATGAGCATATATAGCTTATATACTGTATATATATATATATATACTGTGTCTACTATATTTAGTTCTGTAATAGTATTATTCATCATTCGTGTCTTCAGTATATTTACATTAATCACCATGTGATGATCTTTAACACGTGCCTGGTTTTATTCAAACTTTAGTTAATTTGGGATTAAATCTGAACACAGTTTAATCATTTTTATGTTGATTATTATTATATTTTTAAACTTTAAATTGTTTATTAATATTAGTAGCCATTTCCGTTCAGGACTTTATTCATGAGCTGCTTGATGTGTTTTATTTCTCCTGCTCTGTTCCTGAGCTAGAATTCATGATACTCATTTCAAGCTCTTATATGTATTTATTACTAATAATAATACTAATACTATTAATAATAATGTTGTTATTATTATTATGAATACTAAATGAAAGGTATGAGGACAGCACGTACCCTCGGCAGCCTGCAGGACGCTGACCTCCAGGCCCCTGAAGGTCTTGCTCGCCAGCTCCTCGAGCGCGCACAGCGGGGAGCTCTGACCCAGCAGCTCGCGGCCGCTCGGGCTGTGGCCCCCCGAACGGACGTTCTCTCCGTGGGGGACCAGGGGGGTCCTCTTCACGCACGGCTTGCTGAGGATGTCTTCGATGCTGAAAGGCGTCAGCGGCTTGTTGGAGTTTGCGGGAGGGGGGAGCTGATCCAGGGGGCTGCGCCTCCTCTCCACCTCGGGGCCTTTGGGCTCGGCCTTTGAGCTCATGATGGCCCCCCTGACCACCGTTTGTGTCTTCAGGCGCTTCAGGCCGGGCTGCTCAGGGTGGAACAGCTCGGGTCACAGGGGGGGCTGCAGCCACATGTTGACCGCCCGGCTCTTCCTAATCCACGTCTGGTGACGCGCAGCGAGACGCGAGTGGACCCCATCCGGAGGACGGGATGTGCCGAGACTAGAACCTTCTGACCAACAAGTTCTGGTCTGGACGGTAATCAGCTCCTCATCCCTCCCTCTGCCTCTCTCTCTGCGCGCCTGTGCGCGCGTGGGAGTGAGGTGGGTGTGTTTGTGAAACGCGCCGTGAGATCACAGGCGAAGGTGTCCAATTAGAAACTATTATTTAGCCTTTTCTTATTCCCTAAAACAATGTTTGGACCCCCCCCCCCCCCACACACACACACACACACACACCCAATAAATAAATAAATAAATAAATAAATAAATAAAAAATAAATAAAATAAACACAGTCCATGGTGAATAATCCAGGTATACAATCCAACATTTTTCAGTCAGGTCAGTTTTTGTTTTTGTGCTGAAACGTTTCACCTTCCATCCAGAAGGTTTCATCAGTCAAGGAAACACAAAACTGATTCTGATTCTGGACTTTGTTGTTTTCAACCAGTTTGACACGACTGTTAACAAGGAAGAGGGCCGGCAATTGAGGAGGGGACGTGCCAAAGAGACCATCTTAGCACCAACATAACTGGTTTGTTCCACTTTGGAGTAAGTTGTTGGGGGAAGAATCAGTTTTGTGTTGTGTGTTTCCTTGACTGATGAAGCCTTCTGGATGGAAGGTGAAACGTTTCAGCACAAAAACAGAAACTGTCCAGATGACCTGACTGAAAAATGTTGGAATGTTTGAAAAACTACAAATCTTCACGGCAGAATTAGTTTTGTGCAGCTCGCACCATTTACAAAATTATTACAAGAAAATAAACTCATTTTCCTTGAATTACCAGAAATAATAAATATTTGGCTCCGGGCCATTTCATGTTGCAAAGAAATTAGAGTATGACCTACAGTCAGACAGAGGAGGTGTCGGTTTTTATCCTGACCCACAACTGAAGAGAAAGTTTTCTCCAGTTTCCTCCCACAGACCAAAAACATGCATGAGACTGAAGTGAATGTTGTTTGCCTCATTTGTCTCTATGTGTCCCTGTGATGGACTGGAGACATGTCCACGTTCGTTGTCCCCCGACTTTTGCACAGTGACTGCTGCACATGGACACCAGTGACCCCGTGACCCAGAAAAGGAGGAAGCGGTAAACATGGATGTTTAAAACATCTAAATGTTGGAGCCACTTTCTCATTGGGCTGCAACTGTTCACAAAATTGCAAGAAAATATATTTTTTACATGGAATCACATTGTAAAACACAAATACACAAATACACAAATACACAAACACACAAACACATAAATACACAAATACACAAACACATAAATACACAAACACACAAACACATAAATACACAAATACACAAACACACAAACACACAAATACACAAATACACCGTTTTCTGCAAAATTCAGGTCAGAGTATTTACACATCCTGACAAAACATACAGCTCTCAGGAACTACACTGAGAAGGTCCAAGACATGTTTTAGATGCCCGTGATATTCTGAGGGAACCATCCATCCATCCATCCATCCATCCATCCATCCATCCATCCATCCATCCATCCATCCATCATCTTTACCTGCTTCTTCCTGTTTGGGTCGCGGGGGTCAGGTGCCCATGTCCCATCACTGTGCAAGAAAATTGAAAATCCTCGCAAATTATTCAGAAACATTTGTTCAACAACGTGCCTGACAGAACTTCCACGTTGTCCCACACTTGTCATCAAAGTCGTCTCAGTTCAGCGAGGAGTCAGAGACCATGAGCTGCAGTTTGTCAGTTTTGGCCCAGATCTTGGTTGTGTCGTGTGATTTCAGCTGTTTTCGCACCATTTTGTCCCCATAGTCCCCAGTTAGTCCCCAGTTAGTCCCAACAACTGGAATCAAATGAGATTCTACATGAGATGCTGCTCGAGTCGTGTTTCTTTACATTGTTTGTTAGATGGAGACTCTTCTGCTCACACACACAGAGAACAGGTCCACCTGAATTCAGTTTCAAGGTTTTCAAATCAGCAGAAAAAGAAGAGAAGAGAAAACTACAGAAAGATTGTTGAAGCTGATGGAAAATACACAACTACGAAACTTTATAGACAGAAAGTCACCAAAGAAAATAATTTGTTTAATTGTGAAGTTATTTTTTAGCATACATTGTTCAGCCTTTGTGAAAGAAGAGAAGAAAGTTCTTCAAGCGTTTGCACTTTTAAGACCTCGGAGCCCTGACATGAACATGAGCAGGGCTGGACTCTTGTTTCAGAGTGGCTCTCATTTCCAAACTTCATTCTGCTTTCATCTGTCCCAAACCTCAGGAGAGGCGTTAACACGCCAAAGAAAAATACTCTTTTTTTTCTGGCAGCTGTGGCTGAGTGGTTAGAGCAGTCGTCCTCCATTGTGAGAATTGAGGGTTCGAGTCCACTAGCAGTCACATGTTGAAGTGTCCCTGGGCAAGACACTGAACCCCTCATTGCCTCTGATGTGTGTCCCATCAGTGTATGAATGTGATAAAGCACTGATTACTCTCTGTATAGATCTAGTATAGAGCTGTTTGAATGGGTAAATGAGGCACAGATTGTGTTGTAAAGAGCTTTGAGTGTCTTGATCAGATAGAAATGTGCTATATAAGTACAGTCCATTTACCATTCTCTCTCTCTCTTTGAGCAGTTGACAATCTGACATTGAACTGTGTTCAATAACAAAAAGCCAAGAACATTAAAGCAGTGGTTCCCAACTCTGGTCCTTGAGGAACACCGTCCTGGATGTTTTACTTGTTCTCCTGATTTGAATGAACGGTGATTAACAGGCTTCTGCAGAACCTGAGGAAGTAATTAGACCACTGGATCAGCCATGTTGGAGGAAACAACTGAAACATGCAGGATGGTGTTCCTCAGGGACCATGGTTAGGAACCACTGCATTAAAGTGCAGCATGTTGCAGAAAGATTTAACAAAAATAAACTCTGAAGGTTTTTAAAGTTGATATCTTGAAGTCTTTACATTATACGTCCACATTCATTAATGTAGAAACCAACTTAAACATGTTAGATTACGTATTAAACAGTACAGATTGTAGATAGTTTTTGGGGGTGCTCAAGCACCCCTAAATTTTAACTCAGCACCCCTGGAAAAAAAGTAAAATAAAAAAAATAAAAAATAAAAATATATATATATATATATATATATAAATGGGGGAGTGGTGGTGCAAAAGTTAGAGAAGGTGGGCCTGTGATGGGAAGATCGCCAGTTCAAGCCCCGGTACCGACAACATCAAAAATGTGGGTGGGGTAGGTGAAGCACCCACACCTGCCCCCACCCTCATTCGTCCCACTCTGGGCCCTTGAGCAAGGCTCTTAACCCCCACCATCTGCTCCTCTGGGTGTCCTAGACAGCAGCTCTCTGCTCCACACAGAGGCTGTGGTAGCTCAGTGTCTGTGGTTGCATCAGGAAGAACATCCAGCGTAAAAATAACTACCAAGTCTTTGTGCGATTTAGTTCGATGTGGCAACCCCTAACGCAGGGAGCAAGATTGTCCAAGATTAAGGTTGTCCAAGATTAAAATTGTCCAGCAGGTCCATGTTTGAGACAGAATGTTTGTGGGATTTGTGTGGGAAGTTTCTGGATACTGAAAAAAAGACCTATTTCATTCCTATATTAAAACGTGAAGGTTTTTGAGGTTTTAGTCCATTAAAAATGTTTCATTGTTTACTATAATAGTAATGTTGATACATGGAAAGCAATCGCAGGTCTGCACCGCTTCGCTGAACATAAAACTGCCAACATCTGTTACAACAGCTGTAACAACTGTATCATCTGTTACAACAAACTGCTGCTGATACTGATGCAGCTTGTTGCAGCTCAGCAGCTGCTCTCTCCAACTTTACTCAACTTACTTGAATAAAAAAAATAATCTTCCACTCTGTACATGTAGTGAACAGATGTGTTTTATTTTCCAATAAAAATACATAGAAAACAATGTGGACACAAATATTTTATTTATAATTTGGAGGTGGTGGTTTTTCTTTAGAGCATTACATTTTTTTTGGACTTATGCAGAAAAGAGCACGACATGACTTTAAAGAAACAGTAAATAAATGTTAACAGTTTCCTTTGGGAAAAGATTAAAAACCTTTCGTTTACACGTCCATCAGGGTCTTAAAGGCGTCTGCAGAGTGCGGCCCTGACCCGTCCGCCAGCTTTCCTTTAGGTTTTACTGCGCGCTCTGGCTGAGCTGTGACATTTGATTACACGCCTCGTCTCAGATCTCTTCAGAGCAGGCCTCCTGTTCCCATTCTTCATCGCAACATTAATGAACGTGCTGGCATTATTTTAGTTTTAACAGCCATTCTTTAAAATAATAAATTCTGTTTTTATTTATTATTTTAGTTTTTGTTGGTTTTAACTTCATTTGTCAAAAGTGTGTTCTGTGATGTGCCAGCCTGCAGCCTTCATGACATAAATGCACAAAAATCTCAAGTCATTACTTCAAATTCACTGCTTAACATTTCTTTTTGACAAATAATACATTTTACTAAAACAAACCCCCTTTTCATTCAGTTTTCGACGAACTGCACAGAAATCTTATCTATTAAGAGAGTTGAAATAATTTTTTTAATACAACCAAATAAAAAAAGATTTGCTTGAATTAACAAATGAACAGAATTACAGAGAATCTGCTTTTCTAATCTTATGAACCAGTTGGAGATTTAATAAACATGATTTTAACCCAATAAAAGTTATATTCTGTCTGAATAAACTACAAGCTAAACCAAAACACACTTATGTTTGAGTTAGTTAATCCCGATGTCAGTACAGACTGAATTTAAACTTTGTATTGAGAGGTGTAAATGTTTTAGTGCTGCCTGCCAGACAACAGCAGAATCTTTATTTT